TTCATTTATTTATTGACCCATTGGTTGTTCAAGAGCATGTTGTTTAATTTTTTTCTCTATGAATTTTCTGAACTTCCTCATATTACTTTCTAGTTTCATACCTTTGTGGTCAGAAAAGATACTTGATACGATTCCAGTCTTCTTAAATTTGCTAAGATTTGTCTTGTGGCCTAACAAATGATCTATCGTGAGGAATGTTCCATGTGTGCTTGAGAAGACTGTGTGTTCTTTAGCTGTTTTTGGCAAAGTTCTGTATTTATTAGGTCCTTTTGGTCTAAAGTATTGTTCAAGTCCAATGTTTTCTTACAATTTTCTGTCTGTATGATGTTTCCATTATTGAAAGTGGTAAAATCCCCTATGATGGCTGCATTGTAGCCTCTCTCTCCCTTTAGATCCCTTTCACATTTGTTTTATATATTTAGGTGCTCCATTGTTGGGTGCATACATATTTACCATTGTCACATATTCTTGATGAATTAACCCCTTTATCATTATATGTCCTTCTTTCTTTCTTTTTACAGCTTTTGACTTTAAGTCTATCCTGTCTTATGTAACTACTCTTCCTCTCTTTCAACTTCCATTTGCATGGAATATCTTTTTCCATCACTCTCAGGCTGTGCATCCTTAAAAACGAAGTGAACCTCTTGTGGGCATCGTGTAGTTGGGTCTTATTTTTTTATACATATATTCACTCTATGTATTTTGATTAGAAAATTTAATCCATTTATATTTAAGGTAATTGTTGACTGGTACGGACTTATTATGGCCATTTTGTTAATTGTTTCTGGTTTTATTATAGACACTTTGCTTATTTCTTCCTCCTTTGCTGTATTCCTTTGTGGTTTGATGGTTTTCTGCAATGCTATGTTTTGAATATTTAAAAAAATTTTATTTCTGCATCTTCTACAGATTTTCGCTTTCTGGTTGCCATGGGGCTTACAAAGAACATCTTGTACTTATAACAGTCTATTTCAGCTGATAATTTAACTTTGATTGTATACAACTCTACACTTTTACTCACCCCCCGACATTTTATGTTTTTGATGTCCAAATTTATATTATTCTGTAATATGTATCCCTTGACAGTTTATTTTATCTATAGTTGTTACTCACAATTTTTGTCCATTAACTCGATGTTAGGGAAAAATTACAAAAACCAACATCACAGCCCCAGAGCATTCTTAACATTGCTCAGTATTGCTTAGTAAATACCTACATCAAAAAAGGAAGAAAGATCACAAATAACACTACACCTCAAAGAAACGGAAAAATAAGTCCAATGTTGGCAGAAGAAAAGAAATAAAGATCAGAGCAGAAATAAAATAGAGACTAGAAAACAATATAAAAGATAAATGAAACCAAGCCATTTTTTAAAAAGATAAACAAGAGCAACAAACCTATATGTAGACACACCAAGACAAAAAGAAAAAAGACTCAAGTAAATAAAATCAGAAATGAAAGTGGAAGCATTATAACTGACACCACAGAAATATAGAAGATCACAAGAGGCAATTATGAACAACTGTATGCCAAAAAACTGGATAACCTAGAAGAAATGTATGGGTTCCCAGACACACAGAATTTAGAAAAACTGAATCATGAAGAAATAGAAAATCTGAACAGACAAATGAGAGTGGAGATTAAATCAGTAATAAACAGCCTCCTATCAAAAGAAATCCCAGGACCTGATGGCTTCACTATTGCATTCTACCAAACATTTAAATAACTATGTAATTTATGGTGAATTGGTACCATAAACTACCCCAAGTCACCATAAATGACTCAAAAAAAAAAAAAAAATTAAAGGAAGAAAATTCTTCCAAACTCTTTATAAGGCCAGCATCACCCTAATGCCAAAGCCAGACAAGGACATCATAAGAAAAGAAAATTACAGGTCAAAATCCTTGATGAACATAGATGTAAAAATACTCAACAAAATACTAGTGAACCAAAGGCCAGGCGCGGTGGCTCACACCTGTAATCGCAGCACTTTGGGAGGCGGAGGCAGGCGGATCACGAGGTCAGGAGATGGAGACCATCTTGGCTAACACGGTGAAACCCCATCTCTACTAAAAATACAAAAAATTGGCGGGGCGTGGTGGCGGGCACCTGTAGTCCCAGCTACTCGGGAGGCTGAGGCAGGAGAATGGTGTGAACTCAGGAGACAGAGGTTGCAGTGAACCGAGATTGTGCCACTGCACTCCAGCCTGGGCGACAGAGTGAGACTCTGTCTCAAAAAAAAAAAAAAAGAAAAAAAAAATACTAGTGAACCAAATTCAACAACACATTAAAAGGATCATTCGCCATGACCAAGTGGGATTTATCTCTGAGACACAAGGATGGTTCAACATATGCAAAGCAATAAATGTGATATATGATATTAACAGAATGAAGGACAAAAATCATATGATCATCTCAAAAGATGCAGAAAAGAGATTTGAGAAAATTCAACATCTTTTCATGACTAAAAAAAACTCTCAACAAATTAGATATAGAAAGAATGTACCTCAATACAACAAAGGCCATATATGACAAACCCACAACAAACATCATTCTCAATGGAGAAAAGTTGAAAGCTTTTCCTCTGATACCCAAAACAAGATGAAAATGCCCACTCTTAACACTTCTATTCGATACAGTACTGGAAGTCCTATGCTGAGCAATTGGACAGCAGAAAAAAAATGAAAAACATCCAAATTGGAAAGAAGTTAAATTGTTCCTGTTTGCAGATGACACCATATTATATATAGAAAACCCTACAGACTCCACCAAAAACTGTTAAAACCAATAAACAAATGTGGTAAAACTGCAGGATATAAAATCAACATGCCAAAGTCATTAGTGTTTCTCTACACTAACAATAAAATTTCTAAAAAAGAAATCAAGAGAACAATCCCATTAACAATGGTGACAAAAAATAAAAATAAAATATTTAGGCATAAATTTAACCAAGGAGGAAAGAGAACTGTACACTAAAAACTAGAAAATCTTAGTGAGAGACACTGAAGATACAAATAAGTAGAAGGTTATCCTGTGTTCATGGATTGAAATAATATTGTGAAGTGTCCATCATAACCAAAGGGATCTACAGATTCAATGCAAGCTCTATTAAAACACCAGTGTCATTCCTTGTAGACATAGAAAAAACAATTCTAAAACTCATATGGAACCATAAAAAACCTCCAATAGATAAGACAATCACGAGCAAAAGTAGCAAAGCTAGAGGAATCACACTGCCTGATTTCAGTCTATACTACAAAGTGACAGTAATTACAAAAGCACCACACAGGCATAAAAATATGCACATCGACGGATGGAACACAACAGAGAGCCCAGAAACGAACCCATGCATGCACGGGTTGATCTTTAACAAAGGCGCCGAGAATACACATGGGAAAAGCACAATCTCTTCAATAACCATTAAAGATTTACATATCAGAACTGAAACTGCAAAACTACTAGAGGAAAACTTAAGGGGAAAAAAAGCTACATCACATTGGTCTGGGTGATGGTGGTTGATTTAATTCCAAAAGCACAGGTAACAAAAGCACAGACAGAGAAATGAGACTGTATCCAAATAGAAAGGTTCTGCCCATCGAAGAATCAACCAGGTGAAGAAATAGCCTACAGGTTAGGAGAAAATATTTGCAAGCCATACATCTGATAAGGGATTAATATCCAAAATCTATAAGAACTCAAACAACTCTATAGAAAGAAAACAAATTATCCAATTAAGAAATGGGCAAGGAACCTGAACAGACACTTCTCTAAAGAAGGCACTCGAGCGGCCGACAGGCACACGTAGGAAAGCTCAGCATCACGAACCACAAGGAGCCGCCAATCAATATCAAATCCCCGATACCGGCTCACATGTGTTCCCGTGGTTATGATCCAAAAGACAAAAGACACCAAGAGTTTTTGATGCAGAGAATGGGAACCCTGCTCGCTGTTAGTGGGCATGTAAATTAGCACAGTCACTCTGGAGAACAGGAAAAAGGTGTCTCAGGAATTAAAGAGAATGACCGAGTGATCCAGCAGTCCCACCTCTGGGTGTTTACTCAGAAATGGATCTGAAATCAGCGTGTGGAGATGCCTGCACTCCCGTGGTCACTGCAGCTCCATTCACAACGTCCAAGACACGGAATCAACCTGTGTCCCTCAAGGGAGCAATGAATAAAGGAAGCAGGGTGTCCATACACAACAGACCAGTGTTCAGCCTTCAGGAGGAAAGAATGCCTGTCATTTCGGAGAACACGCAGGGAATGGGAGGATATTATGCTAAGTTAAAGAAGCCAGGCACAGAAGACAAATACTGAATGTTCTCACCTAAATGTGGAGCCTAAAACCACTGAAGTCACAGAAGCAGTGAGGAGAAGGGCGGTCACCCGAGGCTGGGGGCCGTGGGGAGGGAGAGACGGCGGTCAGAGGGTCCAAAGCCTCGGACAGGAGGGCAAGTCTGATTGTCTCTACATCAATAGCACGGCAGCTAATTATTGAGTATTTTACATGTAAATATTGCCAAGAGTAAATTTCTCATGTTCTCATCACAAAAAAAATGTTAAACATGTGAGGTAATGGATATGTTAATTAGCTTAATCACGCCACGCTGGATTCATAAATCATAGCACCAGTTTGTGCCCCTAAAGTATGCAACTATAATTTATCAATATAACATGATAAATAAATATGAATACATTTTAAAAAACAGAAGGACTGAGCACTGCTTCTTGGCAGTTTGACAGGCTAGACCTTTTGAAGAAACTTGTCACTATAAAAGACTTACTGATATTAAACAAAATAAATTTAAATGCTTTAAAATATATAACTGAGTTAAGAGTACATACAAATAATAAAATGTGACCAAACAATGAGATAAAAGAAAAGTTTGCATGTTAATCATACAGGAACATATGTCTATCAGAAGCTTACAATCATGGGGTCCTACATTATTTTGAGGCATAATTTATATACAATAAATGCACCCATTTTTTAAAAAGTTATGATTTTGCATTTTGCCAGGAACACGAACACAGTTCTTTCTTAGCCACTGAGACACATGAGTCACTTTCTATATTAAGAAAAAATTCATTGTGGTGCAAAATAAGACTTTCTTTTTTCATTAAGGTACATTCATAGTTTTGAGATCTAACTTTTATAACTCAATGTAATTGCTGAATCGTGTACTGGTGCTTGCAGATGAAATTAATGCTTTTTAAATGATCTACTTTAGAACTGTGTGCCATAACAAAAGACTAATAAATGCCACGTAATTGCCCCAGCTCAGCCAACCATTAACATCTGATTCTCTCAACATTTCACTACGTCAGTTAGCATAATTATGAGGGAAAAGGTTGTTACTAAATTCATACTTAAAATATTTATAAACGTATACTTTGTGGAATGAATAAGCTCAGCTCAAAATACTCAGAGCATAAATTTGGACACTAAAAAGTCCATACAAACTTGAATGTCATAAAAGTTAAAATGACTTCAAACTCCCCATAATATCTGGTTACTTCCTAAAATCAAGAAAGGAAGATTTATAAATAGAGAATGGCTACTCTTCCCCCCGCCTCTACAAAAGGCTAGGCTCTGCAGCCTGTGAAGAATTAAAAAGCAAAGCTCAGGCCCCACGCTTGGCCTTGGTCAGTAGGAACAGGGGCCATGAGACGATGTCCTGCCCTTGCTGGAAAGCTGACATTTGTGTTACGCGATGCCCCTGTAGAGGATCCTATGTGAAAAATTCCTTTCAAAATTTAGGATATTCCACTCCCAAACTGGCCTCTTTTGAAGAAAAAATACTTCTCTTTCACACAGAGATAACTGTGTAACTGACCACGTCTCTTGTTGACTTGACTGACAGTAAATTCAGCATGGACTCTTATAACTAAGTAATTAATTGTGGTCAATACATATCTTCTTCATTTTTAATAAGGTTTGACATGGATTTTAACATTTCAACATAATATAACTCCATGACAGACCCCTTCTAAAAAGAAGTTTTGTAAAATATTCCCCCAAAAGGTGAATAAAACTAGGAAATAATACCTTCATTTTCCCCTGTCCTCATTTTAAGTGGTTTCAGAAATAGCCTATCTTGAATTCTACTTTCCCAAATCAAATTAGTCACCACTGATTCTCTCCACAAAGTACCATTTTGTTCCTACCAGGTTTTTCAATCTAGATACAATTTTTGACAAAGAAAAGAGAGTGCACACCCTCTTCCTGTGTGATGAATACCTCTGGTCTCCCAGCAGTCCCCGAATAAGCCGTTTTCATCTTTCTCCAGAAGGAGTCATGGATGGAGGCAGACTGACACAGCGTGGAGCCACCACCGTGCCCAGCCCCGCTCAAGCCAAATGCGGGTTCTTTGGCACGCGTGTTCTGAGGCCTGTGCCTCTCCTTCTGAGTTTAATTGTGCATGAATTTGCTATCAGCTTCCTCTGAGAGCACGGCACCCCCAACGTGGACAGGAGATTTTCTCCATTGGTAGCCTGTGTTGGCTACCCAACACCCTTAGCTACATCCAGACAATATTTTGAAAAGGTGATTTTTTAAAAATAAAGAAAATGTAGAAATGGGAAGACTCAAAGGGGTAAAATAAGAGAGAGAAAAAGTTAATGTGTAAAAGATTTTTCCTGTTTTTGCAAAAATTTATTGAGAACTTTTTTCAAATTACAAACACAATACACTGGAGTATGGTTTTCCACCTGCTGCTCGAGTTCGAGCTCGACAAGAGATGGATCCAGACAGAGACCTGCTATAGGTAACGGGAAGGTGTCTATGTAAACTGTGCACAGCATGGGTGCAGAGGAAGATACCACGTGTAGAGCAGACATCACACGACTCGCCAGTGCCAGGTGCATTTCTTCCAGCACAGAGAGGGCCCTGCCATTTTTGGAACAAGGAAAAGACAGTTTCACTGTCTTCTTGGCTTGGAGATTTCCCCTTCTGATTTAATCTAGAACTTAGTGGGCACTTTCCTGGCTTCCTGACTGGGGCGTAAGTCAGGGGTAGGAGCAGCAGCAGCCTTGGTATCCACTCGCTGCTGGAGATGGAATACACCTGCTGGACATTCTTTTCCTCTCTGTCGCTGTGGGTGTTTCAGAAGACGGAATACACCTGCTGGACATTCTTTTCCTCTCTGTCGCTGTGGGTGTTTCAGAAGACGGAATACACCTGCTGGACGTTCTTTTCCTCTTTGTCGCTGTGGGTGTTTCAGAACATGTGAGAGTGTTTTAAGTTTTCAAAGTTCCTAGTACCCTGGGTGAACTTTGGGTGCCCTGCCTACAGGAAAGACTCAATAAATCATGAAAGAACAGGATGGAATCAATAAGAAAAGGAACACAATATTAAATAATTGTTCTTAAAACTAGCTGGGCATGGTGGCTCATGCCTTTAATACCAGCACTTTGGGAGGCCAAGGCAGGAGGATTACTTGAGGACAGGAGTTCAAGACCAGCCTGGCCAACATGGAGAAACCCGTCTCTACCGAAAGTATAAAATTTAGCTGGGTGTGGTGACGGCGGCCTGTAATCCCAGCTACTAGGGAGGCGGAGGCAGGAGTATCGCTTGAACCTGGGAGGTGGAGGTTGCAGTGAGCCAAGATTGCGCCATTGCACTCCAGCCTGGGCGACACAGCAAGACTCCATCTCAAAAAAACTTTCTCTTAAAACCTTTCTTATGTATCTTATTATTAACCAGAAATTTAGCGACACAAATAGTAATGGCTAAGAATGAATTTTTATTGAGCTTTTACTAAGTGCAGAAACCTGTAAGTAGTTCCCATAGATTAACACTTTTAATACTGCCTTTAACCCTGTAAGGTATGTGTTATTGTTATTATTAATATCATTATTATTTCAGAAATGAGCAAACAGTAAAAAAGGTGGCATGTTCAGCATTATTTCAATTGTAAAAAAAGATGGAATAAATTAATACAAATTTAATAAGGTTTTATAATCATCACCTCAATAAAATATTTTTAAATTTTAATATACCAAACATATGTGTATGCTAATGAGATAACATGCATATAATTTTGTATTGTTAGACTATCAAGATACCAATGGCTTCTCCATTTTCAAAAATATTTTGGTGATAGATACGTAGAATTCCGGGCAATATATTCCTTTAAACCAATATTTAATACAGTAAATGTCCAGTACGAGAAAGTAGCCTGGACAACTCCTCAGGGTGCTGAGTGAGTGGATCTGACCTAGTATAAATTTGACACTTAAGGATTTATGGGTTTAAATATATTAGTGCACAGGACTCACAACTGGAACAGAGACAGCCATTAGGATCCAGATGCACAGGCTGAACAAGCACCTGTTCAACAGCCCTTTACCGAGTAACTACTGTGTTCAGCATGAAGGACTGAGCGCCGGGCCCAGGTCCCTGTTCTGCCTGATGACTCCCTCACACAAAACTAGGAGCTCTGCGTCCCTGCAGCTTCTCCGCCCCACTTCAGATGTGCGAGCACAGAGCGCACGGGCTGATGGCCATTTTCTAAGTGTGACGAGCGTCCCTTCGTAACGCACACCTCTGTGAGGGCACTAAAGGGATGGCGGCTGCAGGAGCATTAACAAGGCACTTGAGGAAAGCACAGCAGCACGGGGGGTGCCTGCATCACACGCTCGAGACTTTACCACGTGCCCGCTGTGTGCCTGACAGCAAGCTGAGCGTTTTCTGGAGAACAAAAATGCGAGCAGTTCTTATGTGGAACTCCTCATCTGCTCAGTGCCCACTGCCACCCCCCAGCGAAACTGCAGCACCGGCCACATGGCTGGGAGGCTGCAGAAGGCCCGTGCCAGGCCCTCGATCATATGCTTGAGGACAAAATCCATGCCCTTAACCTGTTCCTCTTTCAGAAGCCTCCACTTCCACATCTCTAGAATCACAATAACAACAGTAACCACAACTCATGTTGGAGAGGAGTCCATTCCGGCATTGTTACACTGCCACTTAACCAGCCCATGCCCTCACAGGCCCGTGCGGCCCCAGCTGCCTGCCAAGTCCAATCAAAACCTGCTCTCCTGTGAAAGCCTCACTGATGTTTCAGACCCAAATTGAGCTGATTTTCTCTCCTCTGCCCCATTGCCCTGGGCTCATCTTGCGGACACTTCTCATCTGCCTTAGATTGCTGCTATTTATGTCCATGCCTGTCCTCCCAACTGGATTATAACCTCGTCCAATCTATGAATCATATTTTAATTGTCTCTGTGTCTCCAGCACCTTGGAGAGTTCCTATTCATAGCCCACAGTCCATAAATGTTCCTAAGATAAATGGATGACCATTAGAACTTATTCCTTTGTTGGGGAGCCTAGCTGTATCATGAAACCACAAAACATAGAATAAGGGAGTTTATAGGACCAAATGAGCTCTTAACATACCATCTGTTTCTCAGCAAGCAACCAATAAAGGCTGCTAATCTGACTTCAATTTTTTTGAAAAATAGTTTAAACAAAATAATCCAGAAGAACTTAAGGCACTAATACATTTTAAAAGAGCACACACACTCATATTAAAATAGACTGAGAAAAGGCATAGATTGAGAGAAAATATTTGCAAAACACAAATCTTATAAAAGGTGGATATTCAAAATGTATGAATAACTCTTAAAACTCAACAATAAGAAAAACAATCCAATTAAAAAATACACAAAGATCTGAAGAGACACCTCACCAAGGAACATATGCAGAGGGCAACAAACATCTGAAAAGATGGTCCACACTACTTCTCACCCAAGAAATGCAAAATAAATCAAGGAGACACCACCACACACCTGCCCAGATGGCCACAATCTAGACCCTGACAGCACCAAATGCTGGCGAGAACGTGGAGCAACAGGAACTCTCATCCCTGCTGGTGGGAGTACAAAATGGAGCAGCCAAATTGGAGGAATGTTCGGCAGCTTCTTATAAAACTAAACATACTCCTACTAGACAATCCAGTACTCCTTGCTATTTACCTGGATGAGCTGACAACATCTCCATACAAAAACCTGCACACAAGTGTTTACAGTAGCTTTATTTATAGCTGCCAAAACTTGGAAGCAACTGAGATGTGCTTCGTTAGGTGAATGAATAAACTATGGTACATCCAGACAATGGAATGTTATTCAGGGCTAAAAAGAAATGAGTTATAATGCCACAAAAAGACACGGAAGAAAATTAAATGCATATTACTAAATGAAAAAAGTCCATCCGCAAAGGTTACGTACTGTCTATTTCCAACTCTATGACATTCTGGAAAAGACAAAACTGTGAAGACAGTAAAAGATCAGTGTTAGCCAGGGGTTAGAGAGGAGGGAGGGAGGAACAGGCAGAGAACAGAGGATTTTTTGGGCAGCAAACTCCTCTGTGTGATGCTGCCAGGGTGGGTGTACACCATTCCACATGTGCCAAAAAAATCCCAGAATGTGCAACACTAAGGCTGAATGTGATATAAGCTGTGGGCTTCAGTTAATAATCACATATCAATACTGGTTCCTCAACGGTAACCAATGTGGCACCTCACGTGAGATGCTAACAGCAGAGAAACTGAATATGGGCAGAAAGAGTATGTGGGAACCCTGTAATTTCTGCTCAATGCTTCTGTGAACCTAAACCTGCTCTTAAAAGTAAACTATATTAATTTAAAATACAATGCAAGCCACTGTTCTTCCCATTGTCAGTAACATTCTGGATGAGTAAATGCTCTAAGCCAGGAGAGTGTCTCTGGAGAGCTAGCATGTTGAGGGAGCTGGAAGGGATGGGACCCACCTTCCCTCCCATCTTGAAGTTTAGGAAAACCAGGCACAGAAGGTAAAACCCCCAGCAGGTGCCAGTGGGATATAAGTTCCTCCGTGCTTGACCTGTAAGCAGTATTTACCCCACAGAGCTGGTAACAGCCACAGAGGACGTGGTGTGGAGGACACCCCTGGAGTTATGCACTAGACAGTTGTATGGGGAGAACCAGGGCTGTGTGGCGGCCGCTGGAGAACCCATGCATGCACAAGGGCAGGTGCTGAGACAGCCGTGAACTCCCCTGTGTCACCCGGAAGAGCTACGAAAAAGGATGCAGGAAGCTTGCATCTTCTTGTGGAAAAGGGGGGTTTGATAAACTATGCCAAGATTTTTCAGTAACCACTGTGTGGGCTAATCTCTCTACAGAAACAACAGAGCAAAACCCAGAGCTCAAGGGCTTCTTAAGAACATTGTTAGTGTAAAACTTAGAGGTGGAATTCTGGCAGATTTCCCAGCAAATGTGGTATGGCCACTGGCGGTTTAAACAACCCTGGGCGTACACCATCTCACCTTCTTGTTAGCACACCAGCTGATATTATGAAGTACCTCTGGTAGAGAGTGGCGCCCAGAATGGAATTTGGGTCCAATGATGTTCACCTAAAAGTCCAATATTTCAGTGGCAGCAAGAACAGGAAAGTGGCTCACTTTAGAAGCTGAGGTCCCGACACCACCATCTCCCCACTGCTCCTGAGAACCATGGATATGATGGGACTGCTGTGTGCCCAGCTGAGCTTTCACTAACAGATGTGGGTAGAACTGTGCCCTGCGGAGGCGTGTGCTGAAACCCTAGCCCAAGACCTCAGAACATGGTTGCATTTGGAAACAGGGGCTGCTACAGAGGTAACTAGGTAAGGTCAGGTCACACTGGAGTGGAGGGTCCTGCCCCCACATGACTGGTGTCCTCATCAGAAGGAGAAATTGGAGGACAGACACACATGGAGAACGCTGCATGAAGGTGAAGGCTGGAATCAGGGTGATCAGGCCATGGAACCCCAAAGACTGACAGCAAACGAGGAGCTTGGGGGAGCCTCAGGTAGACTCCTCCTCCACCCTCTTGGGCTTGGGGGAACCTGGGACAGACTTCTCCTCCACCCTCTTGGTCTTGAACTTCGAGCCTCCAGAGCCATGAGGAAAGGGATCTCTGGTGTGAGGCCTGTGTTACAGCAGCCCAGGACACTAACAAACTAGGGGGAATAGCCTTTAATGATGAGGTAGATGATGCTTCATTCCTAAAACTCTGCCAACTGCTAGGAAGAAGACGTACAGACTGCAGTTTCTAACATCATTCACAAGTGAAAACAGAAGGTGGCTCAAGAGAGGGGATGAGCCGGGGCCCTGGCTGGAGCTTTACAGCCCAGGGGCCATCCTCCGAGACCAACCCAGGTGTGGGCCATGAGCGGGAGATCTGCCTCCTGTTCAGCAAGAACTTCGAAAGCATCCTGCCCTCTAACGCGTCTGACTTTCCCCAAAATACCGTTACGTCTCCCATATGGAAACAGACTCGGAGATGGGGAGCTGCGACTCACTGCCATGTAGTGACCTGGGATTTGGAGTTCAGTGTCCGTGTTGGTGCTGTGTGGGCTGTGGACAGCCAGCGGGGGCTTAGCCATTTCCAACCACCAGCACGCAGTATAGACTCATTCCTTCACAGGC